CAGCTTGTACCTGTTAACAAGTAGTAAAAGGTAAAGGTAGTCCCCTGACATTAAGTCCAGTCATGTCTGACTCTGGGGTGTGGTGCTCATCTCCATTTCTAAGCCGAAGAGCCAGCGTTGTCCGTAGACACCTCCAAGGTCATGTGGCCGGCATGACTGCATGGAGCGCCGTTAACAAGTAGACAGTGTCAATCTCTAATGCCTCCGAACAGGTTTTCAAAGGACGTCCAACACAGATCTTGTACAGTCTGTGTTTTGTAGATCAGCATAATATGAATGTAGTTATGGCTCTTTAACAAAAATATTGCTGGGGAAAAATCTCTGCAATACATCCCCATGTTTTTTTAAACTGAATGTGGCTGTCAATCTGAGCAGCCAAGTATAAGTGCTAAAAAGCTATTTTACTATTAAATATGAATATGACAGCTAGAATCTGGGCAGCTGCATTTGATGGGTCCTAAATGAAATTTAGTTTCTTTCTCCTTTAAATTACAGGATACCATTTATATTTGAAATTTAACATTGTTTAAGAAGATATTTTCTGGGAGTTTTGTGGCGTGTTGATATTGGAAGCTCCAAGGCCAAATCTTAACTGGAACTCAGGACTGGAAATTTTGTTTTTGGGCTGATGTCAGTGCATCGTCTCATGTCGTGCTCACTCTATGCAGAGATAATAATAATAATAATAATAATAATAATAATAATAATAATAATAATAATAACAACAACTATTTTTCTACAACAACAACAACAACTATTTTTCCACCCCGCCTCCATCTCCCTGAAGAGACTCGGGGTAGCCCACAAAGGGACATGCCCAACAAAACAGGTTAAAATAAGCATAAAAAACAAGCAATATCAAACATCAATAAAAATAAAAACAGACAACATTATAAAAATGATTAAAAGCTAACATGGCAGAGCAAATAAAAGTGCTGAGATGAGGGGGGTTTTTTGTACTTCAATTCCCAGAATCATCCAACCAACTCTGTTACTGACTGGAGGATTCTGGGAGTTGTATTACAAAAATAACAGTAACAAAATTTGAAAAAACATTTCTGTTCCTGGTTTGAAAGTGTTATTTCTTGCAGTACTTACTTTGAAAGTAGTTGTTGTGCTCCAGAAACTTTGTTTTTGTGGTTGCCACGAACTGTGTAGAATTGGTTGAAAAACTATAGCAAAATATGCTGCAGGATATGCCGCAAAAACAAAGTATTTGCAGTTTAGAAACTTTTTACATGTTTTTATGATATAACCAATTAGGAAATGACATTTATAACCCAGGAACAAAAACTGTGTTACATAGTGTAATCCTTCCAAGCCTAAATATAAATCTCTGGAGGTTTGATTAAGGGTTTACTTCATGGATCTAATTTTAGTGATGCCATTTTGTTTAAAGTTAGATACAATTATCTGCTAGCTTCTTAATAAATTAAGATTTACCTAACTTCCTTGGATGGATCTTTAAAGCTTTATACGTACACAGTAGAATGCTTAGGTGCTCTCTAGACATTTTTCATAGGTTCATGAAACAGCCCAAGCTGTTATGATGGAAATAATCTAAAAAGTAGTCATATTTTATTTGTAAAAACACAAATTATTGTAGGATTATGTTTCGCTACCAGATTATCAAAGTATATCTGACAGAGATAAGTAGAACATGAAATAACATTCTGCAAAGTGGAGTCTTCAGAGATCCAGCTCATGAGGCTGGTTTTTTCAAGGATATCCTATTTGGGGCACCATCTCATTCTAGCAACTTCTGGAGCCATTAAGCACCAGTCCATTATTCATTTGAGCCCCTGATTATGCTTGGTTCATTTTTAAAACTGAATGTTACAGGATTACAAGCATCTTGTAGGGCTTGGGTTAACTCATGTTTTCCCCTGTTTGAGGAACACTCAGTTAAAAACCTTTATAGTGGACCTGTGCCAAAGGATCTAGAGATCCTTTATTTATTTAAAGATCCAAAAGATCCCCCCAGGGAGGAAGCAGCCAAACTTTGAAACTGCAAGGCTATCCAATGCTAATCAAGGTAATCAATTGCAACATTCACACTTGTCTCAAACAGACAAGAGTTCTTTCTCCCACACTGGACATTCCACATATATATATATAAACCCTACTTGCTTAGTCTCCAACAAACCTCAAAACCTCTGAGGATGCCTGTGGGTGAAATGTCAGGAAAGAATGCTTCTGGAATATGGCCATACAGCCTGGAAAACTCACAGCAACCTAGAAATTACTATAAGGGACATATTAATCAAATCCACACATAATCAAGTCTGCAGAAGTTGAACCTCCAAATGTGGAGGACTGACTGTAATTAGTTTTCTGACTATATGATATTGGCATCTAGCCTTCATTGAACAATTCTCTAACTGAAATACTTTGGGGAAGTGATATCAAATACATTAAGATACATTCTGTCTCACATTTCACTGAGTAAATGGCTAATCAGAAAAGGAAATGAGTTAGTCTGGCACACTATTGTAATACTTGAATACAACCAGTTTTGGGGGGAATAAGTTTCATTCAGCAAGAATAACAAAAGGGAAGGCTCTCAACCAAAGGTCCTGTAGTAGTGATCCAGGACTGAGAGTGGGTACTTCTGCAATATAGTTATCATATGAGGATTTTTCAGGGTCATCAATTAGTATATTTGAGTTTAATGGATCCCCCTTCCATCTAGCCCTGCAGTTCTAACCCATGGACTACTATCACTCTCCCTGCCCTTCTTTGTCCAATTAATCCCTTCCTGGATTGCATATCAGGCCCTCAAGGTGACCCCTTGTATGACCGGTAACGGTCTTAATTTAGTAGGCTCCTTGTGGTAGGCTTGACCTGACACCTTATCAAGCTTGATGGGGATAGAAAGAGACAGTTGTCAAACAAACTAACAGTTGTAAAATAAACAATAATGTGGAATTTTATTAAGACGCAGAAAACTGCACATTAATATGTGAACACTTTATTCACTCACACCTTCCCAAAACCAGAGTCATTCTCTCTCTCTCTGACTGACTCCTTCCTGCCTCCCTGAAATCTTAAAGCTCCATCTAGTCAAATCTAACTCTGTCGTCCTTTGATGGGGAGAAGCCTCTGGTCTGGAAAAATTCTCCCCGCAGCCTCCTCCATTCACAAAGTTCCCTGAGCCAATATTGCCTGCTTTCAGATAACTTGCCCTGCTCCGTCCTTGCATTTGGATTCAAATTCAGATTAGGAATAAGTACAAGGTGCTACACAGAAAGAACTGACAAAACCATTTCTGAGTAATCCTTGCCTAAGAAAACTTTATGAAATTTGTGGGGTCACCATAAGCTGACAGGTGACTTGAATGCACACACACACACAAAGAAAATATAGTACAGGCATTCTCTGAGTCACAAACTTCCAATTTACACCTTACTCATAGTTAAGAACAGAGGTGAGACAATAGGAAGTGAGAGAAATCTGCCTCTAAGAAGGGAAACTCACTCCTTGAAGAGTTATCATGGGGAAAATGTGTCTCCACTGAAGCTTTTTCACCAATCCTTATTTCCATAAGACAAATTTTTCAAAATCTAATTATAATAGAGACAGAAAGTGAGGTGAAATCTTCTGAACAAGGGCACAGACAACATAACAAACAAGCCCTTTCCTATGATATCCAAAGGTTTGGTGTGTGTACACGCGTGCACACACACACACACACACAACTCAGGGACTGCTTGTACCCAAAAAATGTGGTCTCTTGAAACACTTTCCTTTCATTCCTTTGAACATGCTGTGTTAAACCAGTGAAACATCTGCCTGGGTCCACATTTTGATCGTATTTGCCAGTAAGTTTTGACTAGTGTTGCTTTTGTGTCATTCAGCACTCTGATAGATAATAAAAGTTGGCAGTGATACCAATATAGTCTTGTGTACCTGTAAATTTTGTGACTTGAATCTTGCTCTCATACTGGATATTAAATGCGCTTCCACATCAGATAGCTAGTGGGCTTCATAGTGAATTTTATTCCATTTTTTAAAACAATGCAAGATTTAGCATGTTTTATATCTATTGTATCCCATTTGTGTGCTTCTGTAACACCTGACAACACCATATTGCATATTTGGGCATTCTGCCAGGTGTTCTAGAGCCAGGATGTACTGTACACTCATATTTACATGATACCTTGGCGCATGTATGTAAACTATCTTGACAGGAGAACAAAATCCATGCAAGTTAGAAGAGATGTGTCTTGAACTGACTTTTTGTATAATACTAGCTGCCCCCCTGCCACGCTTTGCTGTGGCCCAGATTGGGCTCTGGAATATAAAGTAATGAGAAAGTGTTGGTTTCTAATATATGTAATTTCTTTATGCTTGTGGGTAAACAGTATTTTTTGCTGTTTCTTTGTCAGTGTTGATGTGGCTGGTTTGCCCACCCTGGAACATGCAACATACCATTGTCCTTCTTTAAGGGTCCCTTTCAAATCCATGATACTATATCTCTATGTGTGTGAATCATATCTATCTATCTATCTATCTATCTATCTATCTATCTATCTATCTATCTATATCGATGGCTGGATGGCTCTTTGTCAGGAGGACTTTGATTACGTTTTCTTGCCCTGATGAAGGGAGTTGGATTGGCTGGCCTTAAGTATGTTTTGTTGGTCATGGGGGTTCTGTATGGGAAATTTACCTTGATTCTGTCGTTCGTGGGGTTCAGAATGCTCTTTGATTGTATGTTTACTGTGAATCCCAGTGACTACAACTCCCAAATGTCAAGGTTTAGATTGAAATAATAACTGGGTTTTTTGTAGTCATTGAATGACCACAATGCTTTTGTATTGATTTTTGCCTTCTCGTTTCAAGTGGTTTCTGTTTGTTAACTCCAGTGCATTTTCTCTAGCAGAGCAGGCCTTGTTGAGTTGTTAATCAGCAGCTGTCTGAGGCTTTTTTTTCCCCCTTGCGGCGCTTCTACTGATGTCACTTCCCCCTTGGCAAGCGCTCCTCCGGCAGCTCTGCTGCTCCTGAGATTGGTCACGGGGAGGAGAAAGAGAGAGACAGAGACGGAGGGAGTGCATGCTGCTGTGGTCTGGGACCCTGTTTACTTAACATTCTCAGCCAAGGAAGCCCGGGTTTAAATAGGATTGCGGATGCAGTCCGTCACTATCAGATGAGGAAATGATAATTGTGGGATTTGAGACATTCTTTTCTTGAAATCCTTTTCGTGGATTATGAGAATGCAGAATGCCTTTCCTTTTGGGGCTGCGGCAGGTAACTTGTTCTTGGTTTTTCTGTTATTGATGGTTAGAATGAAGAGTGTGAGATTTTGCTGCTTTTTCAAACAAGAAGTTTCCTTGCCTGGTCAAGTTAGTGATTGCAGCAAAATCCTCCCTCTCACCTCCCCCACCCTTTGTCTGTGTGTGTATATGAAAAGGAGGTACTTCTTTTATTTGACATTGAACTTTTTTTCTGACAGACAGGTCATCATGGAGATGCGATTTTTCCTCAGGTTGTATTTTGTAGCTTTCTGTTCTGGAATTTTTTAATTTTTTGATAAAAATCAATATTTTAACATTTTCCTTTTTTTAGAGAAGGCTAGCATTTCTGTTTTTCTTTGTGTGTTGATATCATTCTGCTTTACAGGCTGAAAATGGAAACCAACACTCTGATGCTTAAAGATGTTAGAAACATATTTCTGAATTTGTGATGCTTTGCTGAAGTCTTTAAAGCATTGCTATTTTTACAATGGCTAATATAGTCTGATATGGACTGCTCCTTGAGTGGCATAAAATGGCACGTGTGATGCAAATTCTGAAGTTTTCTTATCTTTGGAGTTGTATTCTGTTCCTGTTTGGTCTAGGAGCAAAATGTGATTTCTTGCTTTTATCACATACTCGGTTGAAAATAAGAAGTTTTGGGGGAATATTGAGTATTTAGCTGAAAAACCTATAAAAATATTTTTATTCTATTGCTATTCTATTGCTATTTATGTATTGCAGGTTTTACTTTCAGTAAAATATTTTGTAGGAAGTGCCATGGCTAGCCTTACTTTATCATTGACTGATAAATTTTTAACCAAATCTTTCATCTTATGTAAAGTGATTTTAGAAACGAGGCAAGAACTACCTCTAGTACAATGACCTTTTTCAGTTGTGATGTAGGCAAAGTCAGCTGAATTTCACATTATCTATAAAGTTCTAGATAAAAGTAGAATTACTGTGTGGTCCTTGCTTTCCCAGAGAGAAAAATTCAAGGATGCAACGGTAAGATCAGAACAATTCAAGTTTTGGTTGATATGCTAAGTTGCCTAAGGAATGTTGAAATTTCATTAAAATTCTTCTAAACTACGTTACATTGAAATTACATCAGCCACGGATAGTTACGTGACTTGAGAAAGGATATATTCCATGCATATCTCCTTAAAGGAAATTTGGGCACCTTCTGGCCTGCTATTGTATTTGTTGCTGTTAAGCTCTTGTTTACTGACAAGCCAAGTCTCAGAGGAGATAAAGCAGATAATGAAAATAGTTTGTTTAGTAATCATTATTTAGGTGTTTTTTGCCCAGAGCACCTTATTGCTTAATATTTGCCCTTCTCTATTGTTTGCAGATTCAAATTACCTCCTTTTCCAGAAGCCAGTTGATGTTTCTCTTAACTGAAATATGCATATGTTATTATGTTAAATATAAGAAATAGCTTTTGAGAATGAGAGAATGAAGTTGGCAGGTGGCTGACTGGATAGTCAAGGCTTCAGCATTCTGATTATCTTTCAAAGTCACATACTTTGTTTGTTAAAATTGTAAATATTCTGCTTGGGGATCTTGAGACTCTTTTATTTTCCTAGAAGATTTTCCAAAATGGAAGCTTATTGCATTTCTAATAAATGAATTGTTCACATTTTCTGGTTTTGACAACAGAGCACCAGAAACAATTGCTGTATTCATTACTGTCTATTTGAACACATAGCAGTTTCTCTCCACTATAAACAACTCTGCCCTTTGTCAATATGATCGGCACTCTATTCTGTGTAAGCTCCTGGTTTAGTGCTACCTTATTACATTTTCTGATTTCATAAGTTAATTTGTATGGTTGAATGTTAGAGGTGTAAATGATAGAAACTTTAAGTCATGCTGAAAAATGGTAGAGGCACCCAGAAGAAGGAATTAGCTACATTTGCCTTAGGTTTCCTATTGACTTAACTATAAGCAAATATATTAAAGTTATTATTGGATATTTTTCTTTGTTTCAAGACAACTGGCTTTTTAGAATGAGCTACGGTACATTGCTTAAAACCTGTCAGAGAAATATGAATGTCTTAAACAGCAACTCTTGGTGGGGTAGTATGAAGTGGTGAAAGATCCACCACTGTTTAACTTCTACCAGTTTATTTTAGACAAAATGACAAATGTTTAAAGGTATGTTTGCATGACATAGAGCAATGGTTCCCAACTTTTTTTTGACCAGGGACCACTTGACCAAAGACCACTTTGACCAGGGACCAGTCTCCAACATTAGTACCAAAAGGGTTACGGATCACTTTTTGGTCAACTTTAGATTCGGTTAGGTTATTTGGGGTGCTGATTCAGGAAATTGCATTGAATAGACTACATCAGCTTTAGTTTCTGGTATAGAACATATGCCATCCAGTAGTCGCCATCTGCTCACCTCGGCACTTTAATAGGGTTTCGTGAGACCAGTTGCTCTTGTTACAATGATGTAGTAACAGTGAGGCCGCGGACCATATTTTAGTTCTTGCAGACCACTGGTAGTCCCTGGACCACAAGTTGGGAACCACTGACATAGATGGTATTTGTCATTTAAGTTCTTCTCCTTTTACCTAAAATGCTTGCAGTTTGACCTAAATAATGAGCCTTTTAAAGAAACAAAGGATCTTGGATGGTCTAAGGCTGATCCAGCACAACCCCAGGCTGTTCTATTTTTAGGATGCATAGGTTGATTATTCTTTATTCAGATTTCTGAAACCTCAAATATTTCAAAATTATCCACATGGGTGACTTAGATAGTGACACCTTTACTTTCTAATGGTTCAGTGTACACAAGCTTTGTTTCATGCACAAAATTATGAAAATACTGTGTGTTAAATTACATTCAGGTTATGTGTATGAGGTGTATATAAAGCATAAATGGATTTCATGTTTGACTTGAGTCCCATCTTATTATATGTAAGTATTCCAAAACAGAGAACAAAAAATGGTCCCAGGCTTTTGGATAAGGAATGCTCAACCTGTATTACCAATAAAGACTTTCCTTAGAGTGTTCCATAGGTATACTATATGCCTTGAGTGAATGTGGAGCCCTTTTGTCTCATGCTTGCTTCATTTCATGGCTTCCTGAGAAGTGTAAGATTGCTCTTCCTGGCGCATAGCTTAAATAAATATATTGTATATACAGATGTGAAAGCATTAATATATTATCTACATAGGTTTCTCTGGAAACTTGTAAAGTTTTTCTAAACAAGGCAGATAACATGCCTTGGTGTTAAGCGGTTCAAACTGTACCTTACAGTAAATCTGAAACAAGGAAACACCTCTATGAATTAAAGTAATTCTTTGGAAAACACAGTGGTGATTTTTTTTTTGTTACTATTAACGTGTCAGAAATACATCTGCCTTCTTTTCTTTATCCACTACATTAAATTGAAAATAAGGTGTGTAGATTGTGTGATCTTTTGGTGGGAGGAAAGAGAATTAAAGATGTGGGTGATGCTTCTGAATGTATAAAGTTATGATTTTGCAGCAGTGAGCACCAAATGCAGTGGCCTGTGGACAAATTTTTCATACTATGGTGAGCTGTACTTCTTGAATTTCAACCATAACTCCACTCAAAAATTGCTGGAAGCGTAATTGGAGTTTATACATCCCAACTTAGTTAGCCAATTTTCAGCTAAACCCTTGTTTTCATTTAGTTTTAAAGGTAGAGTTAAGGTGTGTTTAGAAGACACATACTGCTCCAGGCAGCAATTTAAAAATGTTATATGAGTATTTATTATTCCCTCCACATCCCACAAAATTTTCGCAGGGCATTGGTAGCTCTGAAAGGACCAAGAAGAGAGAGTTGCTCATGAGCTGCCAGTTTTGTGGGGAGGACCAAGTATTACCACTGCCATCCAAACTGCAGTGAAAGAAGAGATCTACATGTGAAGAATGTGGCCATCTTTAGTGCAACTACCTTTCCAGGAAATCTATGATCCCACTTTAAGATATTTGGCCGTTCCACAAGTTGTAATTTGATTCTGCATCATTACTTAACATGAAGGAGCAATGGCCATTTTTGGAGACAAAATCTTTAAGAAAAATAACATTTTAAATTATACATTTCCATCTCAGTGATGGTTTATAAGAGTAATGCAATCAGAATATCAGATTGGCAAGAAGTAGCATTTGCAGGTTGCTCAACTTCATTCAGTATTCAGGATTCCTTAAGTGTGTATATCTGAGGGGATCCTTTATTTCTAATGATGCTTTGGTTCTTAGTAGTGCATTTTGTTAGCCAATGTTTGATTTCTGAAGCAGATGGAGTTAGCAGCAAAGTTTGGATTTCTCAGCTTTGCCATCTTGAACACATTTATTTATTTATTTATTTTATTTAGTATATTTATATACCGCCCCTCTCAGCCTTCCGGCGACTCAGAGCGGTTTACAAGGCAAAAATTCAATGCCATTAAAAACATAAATGTAATATACAGTATAAAAGATCAGCAACAATAAAATCATCACATTATAATAAAACATACTTCAATCGATGCTCATTAAAACAATGTCCAGTCCCGTCATATAGTTGTTCCGTTATTATATCCGTTACTCAGTATTCACAAATACCTGTGTTAAGATTCTTCCGAAATGATAGGAGCGAAGAAGCCGATGTAATCTCCCTAGGAAGTGCGTTCCATAGCCGAAGGGCCACCACTGAGAAGGCCATGTCTCTTGTCCCCACCGGCCGTACTTGTGATGGTGGCGGGACCGAGAAAAGGGCCTCTCCAGATGATCTTAAAGTCCTTGCAGGTTCGTAAGGGGAGATTCGTTCAGACAGGTAAGTTGGGCCAGAACATACCTACTATGCCTGATTTGAAAAGCTAATCAAGATTAGACCTGGTTAGTACTCGGATCAGAAACTATCAAGGAAAATGCTACAGTTTCATTTATTGGGGCAGAACTAGGAAGAAATCTTGACTGAAACCTGACACTCGGAGCTCATAGAACTTAGCCCAGTTAACCAATACACAAGGACTTGATCCTTTGTGATCTTGAAAA